CAATAGCGCATTTAAGGAATGAAGTCATCTCGAGTATACTGGGGCAGAAATTGCCTAAATTTGTGGAGCGCAAAACGTTGTCATCGCTTGGTTTATCATACCCGTGCATACACACACACACACACACACACACACACACACACGGACATCCCAGGTAAGCATGCTTCACGTCCGTTTTCTCTATGGCTTAGCTAATCCTAGAAGCCTTTAAGAACGAGGTTATCTTGGCATAGAGATTACTATGCATAAATCAAGGCTTATTGGTGCTGCAATCTACGACAAGCTCATGTTTGTGCGTTTACCACAGCAAGCAAGCTTACGTAGCACTCAAGGTTATTTAAAGCACAAACTCAATGTGCTTTTCTCTTTTCATCTACACACCTTATTTAATTATGCCGTAAATAACTTTGATGCCTTTGACTCATGAAGAAATAGTTCGTCAACTGAGAAAGCTCTCAGCTAATACCATTCCATGTACCCGAGTCACGAGGCACGGTTTGGCAAATAAAGGAGAAAAAATGAAGGTAAATAAAATTAGAACAAAGCTCCTGCGGCACAGATGGCACCCAAACTGGTCTGATATTTTATTTATACATCAAAGTCACCCTTAAATTAGAATGAAAACGTGGCTTGCGCTTAAATTAGTCAATCATCAATGTAATTCAGAACAAAACAAAATTATTCTATTAAAAAAACGTCAGAAATGGGAGAAAAACAACTTTATCGGTATGTTGCTTTTGAACTGCACGTTGTGGTGGATTGCTGTACTACCAAGCCTTGACTTTAACACCCCGAGATCTTCTAGTTTTGAATGATTCCCAGGATTAGATAGGCTACCGCAACGATCAGGAGGTAACAGACCTATAAGGTAGAACATGCTTATTTGACTTGTATGTATGTTGGATTGTGCGTGCGAAGACATGGAGCGAAATCATTAAATACTGTTAGGGTATTGGTTATTGGCTGATCGAGAGGTCTCTGCACCCGTAACCTCATTTGCTCCCTACCCTGTTTGGATCACGTCCGCAGTGTTCCAGAATGTTCGAGATCGCCAGAGCTTTTTTGCTTCAGTCATGCTAGCATTTACTCATTTCAAATGGCAGGCGTTTTGATAGCTATCATTAGTCATTTAGCTGGCTTCGGGCTTCACAGAGAGAAGGTTCATCAAAGTAGCAGAGAGTCGAGAGGTGGGGGAACAGAAGAGCGATTCACAGAAGTAAAAGAGACAGACAGACGCAAAGGCAGGGAAATGGTAAGATGAGTGCTGTGAAAGTGAGCGAATATAACATACAGTGGGGTCATGGTAGTTTGAAGCCAGAAGTCAACTCCCTGTTAATGGACTTTTTTTTGTCGTATGAGTATACGTTGTCCAGGGTGCATCACGTGGAAGTAAGTCTTTCATGCACCCCATAATATAATAATATAAACACAATTAAACCTGTCCTGCTATATTTAAAATGTCTTTGTTAGTCTCGCGCGTATGCTTATGGTTGTGATGTCATACAAATTAAAAATCTAACTGTATCTTCTGACCAGCAAAATTCGAAAAGAACCCGAATACCTATTAGTCAACTCATTAAAATCGAGGTTTCGAAAATTTTGATATGGAAGTCACCAACTCAAAATTTAAATTTACCTCAGTCTGGTTTTGTTATATACTCTTATTCAAATTTCTTCTTTTAACGTACCATTTTGTTATTTCGATACATCACATGAAATTCTTTTTATAAATTAAGAATAACAATGCAAAGCCTCATATAGATAATTCACCTATAGTTCTCATCTAAGACCCTTTGTCGACTCACCGCTTGGTTTCTTCTCCACAATGCCATTAAAAGCTGAAACATTAGTAAGGATTCTGGGTCTAATAAACCGAACACTCCACGTCATGTTAATATTTGCTTCTTGTGTATAAATTGCCACTAATGGGAACAATTATATACGACGTAGAAATGGACAAGGCATAAAGCGTTAAGGTTCTTGAAAAGTCATTTAGTTTACCATGTTGCGAAATTAAAACGGTTCCAAGGTATTTTAGGAAAGCTCTTTCAATCACTTATACTTGTTTGAGGAATAGTATCATGGGTAAACCCCACTACTATCTTGTTTACTATACTTAACAAGTGGAATTGGACATTCCACCCAGTGGGGTATAGCAAAGTATTTCGAATCTGATCTGAACCCGTCTAGGTCCTAATTAATTCAGTTCACAATTTAAGTGCTGTCTCTGAATTTAAATTGAACTTTATATATGTTCAACTGTAACCTGTCAGAAACATTTTCTGCCGTTTTATTTCCCATTTTAACATCGAGTATTTGAAGCTCGGTTATTAAAAACTTGTGAGTTGAGTTATTGAAAATAAAAGATTGTTCACTCTTATTCATAGCCAACTTGCTAGCACTAATGAAGTGTGCAAATGAAATTTGTTGACGTTAAAGAAAAATGTGAATTGTATTTTCCTGGCTTTAAAAAATACTGGTATAAATGCAAATTGTATAAATGATTATAAAAAATACGAAACAATTTTGGCTGACCATAATTAGCAAAAACCTTACTTTTATTAAATAAACGAATATCCACTATTCCTAAACTGGCAAAAATGACCTTAAAAGTACGAAATAAAAGCGTTTCTGAAATTGAGCTGCATATGGTTTTTTGTCGCTGCGAAACGGACTTTGTTCTATTTCCTTTTCCTGCAAATACACATCTGGGGAAATATTTTAATAATTTTTTAAAATTTTCAGGACATTCGAATTAATTGAAAAACATATTTCTCGCTACTCTGACCTCGATATTTGCATTTGCTTTTGTTTTACATCTTTTCAATTTCAGCAGTCTTGATAGCAATGTCTGGTAGGTCGCTTCGAAATTGACGCAATTTTTTATGATCAAGTATCATTATCGCACTTTATCGTTTTCTTTGCAGAAAGAAATTTTATCCCCCATCATCTTGGAGGTGGGGGGTTGTGCTGGCATCTACCAGAACGATACATCGAACTTAATCCGGTTAGTTATGGATCATTTGGCTGTGTGTGGTAAACTTTAATCCGAATTTGGGTGACATATTCATCTTAGTTCTGCAAAGGATACTGTTACTAATCGTCGAGTTGCCATCAAACTTTTGAAGAAACCGTTTGATGTCTTGGAACTAGCCAAGCGAACGTATCGGGAACTTGCTATTTTATCACATCTGAGACATGAAAATGTAAGCTCAAAATTATTTTAATATTTCAACCAACTTTATTTGAATTAATTACGAATTTGTTAATATATGAAATCTTGGTTGCGCTATCATTATTAGTATTAATATCACGTACTTTTATGCGTTACACACAAGATCGAACATTTTAAGCTCGATGTATTTATTTACCTTATTTATTTTTGATGAGTATATGTTAGATCTACCTAATTTATATTATACACGTTCTTATTAGAATTGTAAAGTAATCTTCTATCTATCTACTGTATAATACTGCAATATTAGGGAAAATGAAACTAAGCAAATTAAACTTTGTTTCATAATCTCTTATCGAGCTAGATTTGTGATAATTAAAACCAAGTTATACAATGTTGTAATAATTTTTATTTTAAGGTCATCCATCTTATTGACGCTTTTTCTAATCAGAAGTCGATGGACGAATTTGAAGACTTGTAAGTATTTTGCGAAAAACTTTAATATTTTCAAAATGTATCCATTGCACGACTCTGGTTTCGTTTGCAGATACCTGGTGATGCCGTTTATGCCAATTGATTTGGCATGTGTATTGCAAACTGATTCACTTGATGACGAACAAATCTTATTGTTTTCGTATCAAATTCTTCGAGGTTTAAAGGTGAGGCTTGTTTTGGTTAGCAGTTCTATAATTGTGCATTTTTCTTGTGATGATTGCAATTGTCACCTGATAGTAGCGTAAAATCACATTAGTGGGATCTATTATTAGACAACTGAGACACTCTGCTAGCACAACTATTTGGAACTCGCCTTTTTTTGCAGTATATACATGGGGCAAAAATCCTCCATCGTGATTTAAAACCAGCGAATATTATCGTGAACGAGGATCTCGATCTGCGGATTGCTGATTTTGGATTAGCTCGAAATACAGAGAACCTGAAGGACAATATAAGTTATGTAATGACGAGAACCTATCGAGCACCAGAAGTGTTGACAAGTTGGATGGATTATAATGAGACAGGTAAGAAACTTTGTTTCTGAATTCTCCTTCTTGCAGTTGATATATGGTCTGCTGCTTGCATTTTTGTGGAAATGAAGACTCGCGTTCCTCTTTTCAATGACATGGTCAAACCGCAACATTTCAAGCACATTTTACAGATCACCGGAAAACCGGACGAGATAATGATGAAGAAAATTAGTAGCGACCATGTAAGTCGATATTTTGTTGATTTTTGATCAAAATTTTAATTTACTGTTAAGGTGTATTGCCTCCGGTGTCGCTTATTTTAGTTGAAGATGGGTCTGAACTCTAAATCGATTTGCCTTATTCTTCCGTTCTCGATTGATATTTCATCGTTTTGGAAAATTTGGCTTTCAATACTTCATCACCTTGCGCTTACTTAAGTGATACGTTAAAGGGGGAGGGGTAGTGATTTGTCAATTTGTGTTAGTTCCTTCTTTATTGCCCGATTTGTTTATTCTCGCTGATGATCAGCGTTGCCAGTGCAATCGGTCATTCATTTCGTGAAGGTCTGACTTGGCGGACTCTCATGTTGAATACTATGCCATCGGAGCGCATAACTTTAAATTAGACCGGTCTCAGTGCCTTAAAGCGTTGAGTGTTTGTATTACATATTTAGGAGGCTAGCTAATAGGTTTTGTGCCTTTTTGGAAGCTTATAAGTTATTGTTCATTATGAGTTTTGATTTATACGAATTGAGTGGTAGTGATTACCTGGTTAATTATCGCTCCTTTTCTTATTATTATAGTCTCGCTCATATATAGAGGACGATGATGTCCCAGAGAAACCAAATCTCGTCGAAATTTTCCCATGGGCTTCTGATGAATGTAAGTGGCTCTAATTAGATGAAATTCACCCCCTATTCAATAAAAGCAGTATGAAATACTATAATCCCTCTTGTGGAATTTCAGTACGGGATCTACTCTCACGGATGTTGGAATTGGATCCAGATCGTCGATTGAAAGCAGCAGAAGCCTTGGAACATCCCTACTTTCAAACATACCATGACGAAAAGAATGAGGAAGTAGGAACACCCTGGGAAGATCCTCTTTTAGTTAAAAATTTATCGACTGAAATTGAATGGAAAGGTATCTTCTTGCTTTAAAACGATGAGGCTAGTTTAAATTAGGTCGATTAACTAATTACAAATTTCACTAACATTGAATGATTTTTATGTAGAAGCAACATGGAATTTTTTGAAAAATTTTGAACAAGAAACCTTGTCCCAACCATCTACGTCCCAAGGCCCAAACTGAGAGTAAAATCGAATGGGAGATGAAATTTTATACGCACAAAATAGATGAAAATATTATTTTGGGTATTTTGAACACTGACCAATCATTTTCATTTTTCCCCTTCCAATAAACATTACTTAAAATTTGTTAGTCAGTATTTCTCTTAATAGTCCAATCAACACACCACAATCATTTGATGTGCCTTTTATTTAGTAGTGGCGTATGGTGTCCCAACTGTTCTGTATTGCTCTTCATGACCTTGTGATACGAGTATACTGGATTGTTATTAAATCCATTTTTTGGCCTCTTTAGCTGGGTTCATAATTAAAAGTGCCTTGCGACTGTTCAGACTTCCCTATTCTTACTACTACTACTGCTACTTCTGTAGCACTTCCGCATAATAACTTATTTCGCCTTGGATGAGCTCTGGTAAATGAATTCACAATCTTGTCATTCTCCCTCCCTCCTCCCTTGGAAGCATAGTTGACTGACTGGTGTGTTGGCCAAGGGTTTTGAATGATTGTCGCTTTTACACGCAGTGTTGGAATGATCTCAAACATGGAAGATTGCATAAAACGGGTGAAAATGGCTATTTTAACCTATCTCTGAGTAATAACTAAAATTGCACACCATCATTGAATGTTAGGAATATAGGTGCAGTGGAAGTACCTTAGAAGAAACGGAAACAATCGAAGATTGAGTAGAATTCTTGAACGAATTTGGAAAGCACTGGGTTTAGATGTACTAAAAACATCAAGGGTCATCTCGACTTCATTTTTTGTAGAAAGGACATTTATTTCTGAGGAAAAGCTCTAAAATATTTCCCAAAGAAATCGTCAGTGATGCAACATGTGTTTCATCAGTGTTATAGACTAACTAGCGAGATGCACGGCCTTGCCAATCAGCACATCTTGGCAAATCTGCAAAGATGTAGACTAACCAGCTCCATCTCATTGATTTCATTTTTGCCCAACAGGCCCATAGAACCAAGTTGGTTGAAACGTCAAATCATGGATGTTATTTTGACCATAGAATAAATGGTTTCCAACACTGCATTTACTAAGGAGAAGGTGAGGGGAAGCAAGATGTCCATTTACGTCGAGTTCCAATTGACTTCGATTCGCCTCGAGAGCATTTTCGATTTGTGACATTGTAGGAATTGCAGTTTAAATAAATGCTTATTTGGAAGCTCCTATTGATAAACTAAGACAGTGTTGAACGACATAGAGAAAAGGGATAGAAACGAAGAAGTACTCAAGGAAACAACAGTGAAATAGACCAATTTGTCACAATGGCTACTTCCTTCTATTGCCGCCAAGGGTTATGCTCAAATATGTCGCGGGTCCAGGCTTCTCATTGGTTCATTCAATATCCATGCTGATCTAGCTGCTTTCAGATGATTCCTTATTGAATTGATAACGTTGCCTGCTTAGCTTAATTCCATTTTTACAGTAGTAGTATGCTTGGAGGCTGACAATGCTTTCTAGCTTTATGCGTGGTCGGGACTTATCTGGGGAGGGGGGCAATATGATACAGATAGATCATAACGTTGTTTTACAAGATTACATTCTTTTAGTTTTTTTGCCAGAGAAACAACAATTTGCTTGAATTCATCCAATATTAGAGGTAATTAAGTTTGAATAATTTTGCAGAGTTGCTACTTCTAGTCACTTGATTTCAGTGATGGTTTGAAGTACGATAGGACAAGAGCAATGGCATTATAATAATTGCTATTAGTTAATAAGATGAATAACCAATTGAACTGGAAATGAAAATTTACTGAAAATTCAAAATTTTGATAGAATAATTAACTGTATTACCATGATTTTGCAATATGCAGGCGAAAAAGTATGAATATATTCCAAGTTAGCTACAGTGAGATATAAACAGCGAGAGACACAGTTGGTCAGTTTTACTGAAAGGCCCTCTTCATCTTCTGCCCCAAGTCAGCATTGTGAGATCTCAGAGCTAGAGTCAGTTGCCTGGCGAGTTTATTGCCAGCATCGTTGCTTGGATCCAACTGAAGCAGACGCTCGGTGTCCCGAATGCCTGCTTCATACTCATCCAACTGCAGATATGCTGTAGCTCGTCTGTAAAGGACCTTTACGACGTCTTTCACACAAATTTTCGCCTCAATTAACTCCTTGCTAACTTGGGAAAGAAGTCTTTCATTTTTAGGAGCCATTTGGAGGGCCTTTGAACAGAGTTTTGCCGCTGAAGAGGGGCAACAAACTTTCAATTGACACAGAGCCATGTTTGAGAGAAGACTGCAAGAAATAAAGAAGACGGAACTAAAGGTGTGTCGAAAATATTCAACAGAACATGCGGAATTTAAAGAAAGGCATGAGTTTTCTGTCCTCTACGAATGCATGAAAGTCAAATCAATTTTTTAAAGTGGATTAAAAAAGAGAAGTTGAAAATAAGATAAATCAGCAATCCAATAACCAATTGTTTTAAAGATTCCAAGTTTATGAATCGCATAAATCAACCTGTCTAGAATATGGTACTCAGGGTTAAAGGTTAGGAGAAGTCTAATGAAACAAGAGAATAGTAGTCGATACATGACCACTAGGAAGCATCTTCAAAAATTCTTTGGAATGCACTATATCTTGTGAGAACCAAAATGATGGCCTTTACAGCAACAGTGATTCCAGCGACCTGTTCAGGAGGTAGACAAAGATTGTAACAGGATAGTGAGATGACTTTAGACAAGGAATCCGATCAACTTGCTCTTTATTGGCCAGAACGGCATTGACATGCAAGATGAAAGCTTGATTCAATCGCCTCAGCCATACATTTGTTTTAGCCACCTTCCGTCTCCCCCCTCCTCCCCCCCCCCCAACAGCAAGATAGGAAGAGGACTGGAGGGCGTAGTTTGTCTATAAAGAAATGCTTGCTCGAGAGGGAGTATTTATTAGCAAACAAAGAGGATGGGGAAGCAATTTTGAGCGAGGGCTAGCCTCTTCACTGCCAGGAACGTCCCGAGACTGACTTTTGAGATTTCTTCTGGTGTTAACTTTTCCTGCCATCTGGCATAGATAGTCAAGGGGGTCAGAGCGACTATTCTGTTCAACAAAGTAGATCAGATTCTTGATTGCTATGAGAACTCAAGACACTGTTAAACGTAAATTTCAACTTGAGAAAGAACTAGCCATACGGCATCCCAATATCGCCGAGAAGTAAGTCCAAAAAAGAGTGCCAAGAATAATAAGTGTACCCAGAGGGTAAAAAGCGCATATTATTTTCTCGAAAAAATCCAGGTTCGAAAAGTAAAGTCCCATTCCAAAAAATACAGTACAAGGCTGTTGAGAGGGTAAAGTTTTTGAATTAAAAAATATGACTGCGAATAGTTTGAGACAGATATTTGAGAAACAATATTTTAATGCAATCTTGAATCACCAATTGCATCAATGTCTTATAGGCTAATTTTATGGCATTATTCACATAAACTTAACAATCCTATTAATATCTGTTTAATTATAGAGATAGCGGGGTGTGTGATAGACTTACCTCCTCGTGATGCACCCTGGGCAACGTATACTCATACGGCAAAAAAGTCTATTACCTGGCAGTTGACTTCAAACTACCGTGACCCCAATGTATGTCATATTTGACTACTTTCACAGTACTCATCCCACCTTTTTCCACCTTATCTACCTTCGTCTTTGATGCATTCTTCTGTTCCCCCCCCCCCTCTTGAATTTTTTACACTTTGATGTCCCTTCCCCTCTGTGAAGACTGAAGTCAACTAAAGGGCTAATGAAAACAATCAAAACGCCTGCCATTTGATACAATAATAATTATAGAGATAGCTAATGCGATAAATTTACTCAAACTCAAGAGATAATTTAGACCGACATGAAGAATTATTTGACACCTTAGACAGATGGAATACCAAGATCTATTGCGAACAGACAATTGCCAGCTACAAAATTAATTTGTGAGCATGTAATATGAGAGTGAGGGGTATAGAAAAATTGGGTGAAATGAGTTAGGTTCAAAATGAGCGACAGTCTGTGAGAAGTATTGATTATACAATAAACTGTCACCAGTCCCAACAACTGTCCCTCCTACTAAAGTCAATGCGATGTTTAAGTTTTTTTCCTTTGTCGTGATTCAGAGCATTCAGAGCAAAATTTAGCCTTCTCAACCACTATACAACCATTCTATCAGAGAGGTTAAAGGGAAGTGAGAATTCAAGGGAGAACGGGATTTCTGTCCATTGTTAAATTACTGTGATGCATCGAAAGTAAATTAAGGGAAACACAAAACAAGATATTCACATTTCCAATAGCTATTTGACAATTATATTTACAACGACAATCTATACAATGCCAAGAGCTAAAAATTATAGGTTTCTAACAAAGCACCTAAGCCGACATGCATTTGCTGTTGAGGGTGACACTTAGAAAAGCAATATCATACGAGATTATTGAAAATTCAAGTGAGGCAAAAAAGAAACATCTGCGATCCCTTATCATTACGAACCAAAGTTCCGTGGTCTCACGTGAGTCTTAGTCTTGCAAGAACCATCCAGAGGATCTCGGATCTTGTCCCGAAGATAATCACAGCCGGTAGGATACTAAACACCTCCCGCCACATACTCGCTAATAGGGACTTACCAGGATTGCCACTCAGTTCTCTTCTACTATTTTCCAAGGTCTCAATTTCTCTCATTCCCCCCCCCCCCCTCCTCCACTTAGATTCAATGATCTGGAAGAGCGACCTGCCGACAATACGAAAAGGCTAGTTTGTGTTTTCTAAGAAGAGAAGAACGTTAAAAAATTCGTAATTCTGTACCCTTTAGGTGCTGCAGCGGTACCACTTCCCCCACAGCAGTCACCTTCATCATTTAGAGATACCGCTGCGTGGGCATGAAAGAGGATACCCGATGAGTACAAATGAGCGCATATTGCTTACACTTTTAGTTAATTAAGATAGGCACTTGCTTCACTTGAAAATTGCAAATCAATTATTTAAAATAGCATATTGTTCACTAAAATAAAATATGAACATGATCCAGTAATCTTTAGAAACTCAATCACCTTCATGGGCAAGGATATTCGAAAAGCATCTGTTTAATCAGATTGGTGTCAAATTAAAATGCGTATATTAATTCTATTTATAACGATAAGACTAATCTTCACTTTCTTTTTTTAAATAGTAGTGAAGTGGGGTGTGCGATAAACTTGTCTCTACGTGGTGCGCCCTGGGCAACGCATACTCGTATGGCAAAAAGTCTGTTAACCGGCAGTTGACTCCAAACTATCACGACCCGGCTGTATGCCATATTCGACCACTTCTACAGTACTCATCTTTCCTTTTTCTACACTTTTGTCTATCTCTTACATCTATGAACCATTCTTCAGTTCTACCCTCCTTCCCCCACCGAAGTCAACCAAAGGGCAAATGATAACTGGCATAAAGTCTGGCGTTAGATACAAATATCAGTGAGGTAGCAGACAAAATCAAACCTAATATGAAACACGATGAAATTACTTAAAATAACTAAAATTAAACTCAAATCAAAGTGAAGTTTATAGCACGAAAAGTGACCCAAACAGCAATTTACATTCCCCGAGTTACAACAAGTCCAACTAACAAGGTAAGGTTGCAAAATCAATACGAGACCACTAAGGAGTTGTTTAGATGGATTGATGGAAAGTAAACATTATAAGGAAAATATGACAAGCAGTGACTCGGTGTGCTAAAAAGTTGCACCAAGGTGAGTGCATACAGGACTAATAAATCAAAGTTAAATATAGTTTACTCTGAGTAAGAGATCCGGAGATAAACTAATCACCTCAAAATTGTTATGTCATGTTAGAATTGCAACATACAACGGCAATGAACATGTGAATAAAACTCACAGGTTTATTTCTGTTTTACACACCCCTAAAAACAAGAAAGAATTCGAAGCCTTAGCACCAATTTAAAACAGAAAGAATAAATGATTGATATATTTTGAAAAACTGCGCTTAGGAGTATACAGAATATCAGTAACAAATTAGATATTCCAAATTTAGGCCTGCGGGCAAGGGGATAAAGGAAGCTAAGAAAAGACATGGATGATAAGCATAAAAATAGAATAAAGAGATGCATTTATCACCACAAATTACATTCCCTTTTCTACACAGTAAGGTAGTAAACTTGCACTTTATTGCTCAAAATAACCAACTTTGGTAAAATAATGACTGCCAGTCAGCATCATGAATTAAAAACGATAAACAAATATGGAAAAGTAATTCTTTAAACGAAAGAAAAACAACATAAATATTGAAAGGCTGTAAGCACTACTAACAAATATTTATTTATTTATATCAAATGGCAGGCGTTTTGACAGTTATCATTAGCCCTTTAGTTGACTTCAGGCTTCACAGAGGGGATGGAATACCAAAATGAAAAAAGTCGAGTTGGTTGGGGGAACAGAACAGTATTTCAGACGTAAAAGAGACAGACACGAAGGTAGAAAAAAGATGATGTGAGTACTGTGGTAGTAGTCGAATATGACATAAAGTGAGGTGATGGTAGTTTGAAGTCAGAAGTCAACTGCCAGTTAATAGACCGTTTTGCCGTATGAGTATACGTTGCCCAGGGTGCACCACGTGGAGGTAAGTCTATCGCACACCCCCTACTAACAAATATAAGTAGTAACGAAAATAAAGTCTTGAACATAAAACGAACAGTTATTGATTAAGTACATCAATATCATAGACGTCCAGTTACTGTTGTCTGTTTTTAAGCTCATTGGTGCGTATGCATGGAACTAATCTATTGCTTCAATTAATGTAGAAATTGGATAATGACAAACAAGTACATTAGCTGGACTCTTTAAAAGCCATGAAGCAGAACACTAGCCTCATTGTGAAATGATGCGCAGAATTTTAAATGTTCAGAGGTAACAATTCGGACCTCAAAATTAATCAATCCATTCAAAATATTGTGTAAATCACTCAGAACATAAAACTAAATGTGGACAGCATGATAAAAGTGTAATTAATACAAACCCATATGAATCAATTTTAATTTCTATATCTAATAGATTCTCATCACAAAAATATTTTTGCGCTTAGATCTTACAATATAGTCAAAATACCTACAATTTGCGTTATACCATGGGTAGTAATAATGACAAAAATAAATACTTGCCAAAATTATTTCTAAACCATATTTTTTTACGTCCATGAGGTCGCAATAATGTCTTGACTACATGCGCTCATACCTCATAGCTAAGTGACTCATGAAAGGATACTTCATGTTTCCACCCACAGATGCACACGCGCATGTATGTTTGAAAAAAGCAATTGAAGTGGAGCAAGGTTAAAGTATTTGCAATGCGAATTAGGTAGTAGGTCACTTTTGAGAAAATGCCAAAAACGGAGCAAATCCGCTATCAGAGCAAAAAAGAATGAAATGATATCATATTAGATCATCGACTCTCACTATGAACAATTAGTTTAAGTAAATACGAAACTATTTTCAATGCGAGGCAAACGATAAGATGTGTGACGTATTTCTTTCAGAAAGCCGCTTTAAGTTAAATAAAACATGATCGAACGCTTCTGCGATCCACCATTAACATCGTCTGTCTTTTCATACAGGTGAATTCGGAAGATTCGTTAGGACCAGTGGCACTAGGTAGCTGCCTCATAGGTATTAACAGATCACACAATTCCGTAGATATTGAGAGCACAAATCAATTACTGGACAAGGAGTTCAACCAGAGTTAGCAAGACAATAGGTGAAAGTGTCAACCTAATTCCACCTTCTTACAACAGAGCTTTAAGTTTGTAGAGACAACTCGTATATGGCCCGAGCATATCCAGTTTAAAAAGACTAACTTATAACTTGATAGTTCTAGAGTGAGCCAGAAGCCGAGGTGGACGTTTTCTAAGAAAGAAACCACAAGAACAGTTTAGCATTGGCGACGTGGAAGACCAACTACACTGATCGACAAAGGAATGCTACAATAGAAATTTCTCAAAAGAGTGAGCCCAGGATACCTATTCTACATTCAAGTCATTGTGGGCTGCAAAATATTGGATCTAGCAGAGCTCACAATAGAAATCAATGAAGTTCAAATACCATATTAATTACAGCAGTAGAAGATAAAGTGAAACAATTAAAACAAATTTATGCAATGTTGAGAATGAAAGGAAGTAACTAACCTGAAATGCATTTTCTCAATCAAAGCACCATTGAGTTCAATCTGATCTGGATCAACGGTAAAAGGTGACTCAGCATCCAGATCTAAATACTCTTCCGCATTTACGATTCCAAAGTACTCCTCGCAGGGATACTTTGTACTGTCCTCCTGTTGAGCTCTTTCAGCTAAACCGAAACTCGCACCAAGAAGTGTTATCAGCTGCAGGGCTCGCGAGTAGCAAGAAAACGCTTCGGCAATTCGTGAGGCCTTAAAATGTAGCGAGCCACGGTTTTTTAATGCATCTGAACGAGCAAACCAGAGACGGGAATATGACGCCCTCCAGGCCAAATTTGGCGCGTTTTCTTCATTATCTTTCGCCGCCTCCTCCTTCTTATCCTCCAATGTTGGTTGATTCTTTTCCTCTTCCTCATCATTAACTGGAGTTGGATTAAAGGTTTGGGGAGCCGAGAAACCGTCTAAATTGATGGTAATATTTGCAGGTGACTGTCCGTCCGGAGTTACTTCTATGACTGTAGAAGATCCAAGCCCAAGAGATATAAGGTTCTTTTCAATTACCCCTCGAAGACGTAGACTCTGCTCAGGCGACTGACCAACACGAAAACATACCTTTAGCGACTTTTCGGGCTCTAACTCAGTGTTTTCTGATAATATAAGAGGAGAATTTCCGGATGATATAAGGGTTATCCAACATTTGCAACCATCGGTAACGCCTCGAAGGCTGGAAGACTTAATGTCTCTATTTCGCGATACAGTTTTCCAGAGCTTAAAGTAAAAATGCTCCCAATCTTCACGAAACTGTA